TTTAATTTGCCTTATATGTTAAATTTTATCTGCTATTCGAATTTTGACCTGAACAAATTGAAATTGCCTAAGAATACAATTGTGTGAAAATTCTCAGCCTAATATTGCTACCCAAAGAAAGAACAAAATATCAGCAATCTATTTTTATTCCTAACAACTATTCATGGACTATGTTTAAATGCTTCGTAGAATACGTTATGAAAACGTATTCTACGAACATAAAAGCAAAATTAGGTTGCTTAATGACTTAAAATCAAGTTTCGTAAAAGCTTATACGTATATGTCAAAACATAACTACTCGTTTCTATTCCATCCATGTGATTAATTATACTTGCGTACAATATAAATCTTGATAAGCGTTTCTTAAGTAACTAATGATAAAACATTCCGAATTTCTGCTAAATATAATATTTCAAGCATCTTTTGAGGTCTGTAAAAGTGTTTTTATTAATGAAGTACGTTTGTCTTGCTTTATATTAGTACATTATTGCGTTGGACTGGCTGCTAGTTGATGTATCACATATGTATAGAATACATGCTATTATTCTCAAGTGCTTCTTGTCTAAAAAAAAGCTCTTATAGATAAATCGCTCAGTGTTACAAACTGAAGTTTATCAGAATATTTTGGGAAACAAATGAATGTAGGTTTTATAAAAAAGGTGGCGGTCTTTGTAAGGAGTCAGGGAAATAAATAACTTCAAAGAGTCAGGGAAGATAAATAACTTCAAGTTATCCAGGCAGCCCAACCGGGATATTGGTTAGCGATGCTTTAGTGCCCACCGAAGGGCCCGGGTTTGAAACCAGGAGAAGGCATGGATGTTTGTAAATGTGTAGAGTCTGTGTGGCATGAGGGTGCTCTAAATACGCGGCGAGGCGAAAGTCCTCTCGAAAGGTTGTGGCAGACGCAGAGGGGTGGAAGACTCTTGGATCCGTCCTTCTCCGGAGTGCTCTCCGTCAAAATTGGGGGGCGGAACTGAGCGAAGTCGTAATGTCACCTGTATGGTGCTCAAGGTTTTTGCCAACGACAGAAGCAATCTTGAGCTCCTTGCCACGATGAATTTCGTGGGCTTGCTCTGATGAAACCGTCAGACAAGTGAGTTAAGTGACAACAAGTTTACCAGTGTTTGAGCCGGGTCATTATCAAGACGTTCTTGCAGTTTATTGCTTCGAAAATCTTTCAACTTCTTAAACATGTTTCATTATCAGCCTTAATTTTTCTCTACTGTAAACATTCTCACAAATATCGCCTCCCTCCCAGGAACCGCACTGAAAAATTCGCTGGTAATTAGATCCTGGCTCGAATCTTGGCAAATATGGCAACGCAATTTTCATGGTTGTCCCGCGTTATACCAGAAGACAGTTTCCTTCTTAAAGTCCCTTTTACTAGGCAGATAGTCCTGATGTGATTTGGCCTCTTCAAACAAACACAAACATTGGCGGATATAATAGTCTCAGCTCGGATTATACACGTAATCCGTTTTGTTCCTGCAGCGGTTTTTTTTTCGGGGGGGGCAGGTTTTAAAACAGGAAGGCATACGGTGGCGTACATTGCCTCACCTGGTTTCATTTTTACCTATAATAAAGTAAGGTTACCTTGCTACTTAAGATGCCATAAGAAAATTTTAAGATCAGACTTAAGTGCCTTCTTAAATTTTAGAAAGCTCCATAAAAGAATAAAATGGTCAGATCTCAGTAACTTATTTGCAGTCCGATGAACGTTTCAACCACTTTTATGCTTTGTCGTTTTTATGTTGTGATATGTGAGTGAATGGAATTAATAATGAAAAATTACCATACGGAATCTATTTTGTCAGCTCCCGACGTTATTTATTACTAAAAACTATAAAACTACATTTTTTTTACATCTTCACTTTAGTCAAAAGGATTAGAAATCTCTTTCATTTATTTTGCTTTTTATTTTGATTATTTCATTTTATTTTGTTGGTAGTAAAAGCGTGTTTTTTGTTTTTCGTTTCCATCCCTTGCCTTTAAAATTTTACTATGCCAACATACAACAATAAACTCTCAAAGTTTTAATGTTCTTCTTGCTTTGGCATTGCTTTTTTTCAGCCTTTTAGTTTCTTGATGGAAATGTTTCCTTTGTTTCTCATGTTACTGATTTTCTGGGAAGAAGTAAAACTACTTATATAATAAATGAATTTTTATAATCATTCGCATGTTAAAGCTTCGAGTTTTTCTGACATGCGAATGAACAATGAATGTTCTTAATATCTCCAAAGAAATTAGCAACCACATTTAAAAAAAGAAACTCCCAATATTTTTTTTTTCTTTTTTTCACTTTACACTTTGCATGAAGGAAGATTCACTTGGCGGCTCTCTTCTAATGCCTCAGTGACAAAAGTATCATCTTTAAATTTTGCTTTTCTGATAGCTTATGGAATTTCTTGAAGCTCTTAGCGCTTTGTCTGTTTTTCTATTATGTCTTAATGAATTGCTTGCTTCATAAAGACCAGTTTTATACGAAGAAGTGGCAGACGTGTTTTAGCCGTGTCATTAAAAGTTTTACTTAAAAGGTGGACGCTCTGGAAGTTTCTTGAAATCTTCTAGAGATTTTCTCTTCATTTTATTCTCACTGTTTTGTTTTGGTCTGCTTTTCCATGCATAAAGAAACAGGATGAAATTTAGTATATCTTCTCCTTCATCTTAATTTTTAACCCAGAAGACGTGCAGAAATTCCAGCGTAGAAAGCAATGGAAGCACAGGTTTAAAAAAATAATTATGAATTAAATTGCATAAAATAATAACATTTTAAAATACGAAAAAAATTCAGTAAAGGTTTAAATTAGTCTTAAATAAAGAAAATAATTAATAATAACTAAGGGTAGAGGATAGGCATTAATATTTTCAAATATTTCAATTCATTTCATACAATCATAATTTTCATTTCTTACCAACATGTCTTTAGGATTTCTTTTTATGTTCACAAAACGTTAGTGTACATCATAAGGAATTATAGCATTTTGTTCTCATGGGGTAAGGGACAGCAATTGAAAGATTCGTGGTTAAAATCCCGGGAGGAGCGTAGCTGATTTTCTCACATTTACAGCTCCAAAATCCTATTGCCTATAGACAATTATAATAATCAAATTAGTAGATCCAGTAACCTCCAGTACATTTAATTTTACACGTAAATTTAATATACGTTCAGAATAGAGCACAAAATTAGAAAATAAAACTGCAGAGTATGATAAAACATTTGTTCATATACGCGTATCCTCAACAAATCATTTTGATGAATATTCTTATCCATCTGTGATGATATTGCTTCAGTTCTCACGGTTATATACACAATTCTGCATGAAACTGAATAATTCGGATCTGAAAAAAAGTTCATCCGAACGGTTTCACTGTGCCTTGAGGAAATCAAAACATTTGAACTGTCAAAAATGCAAAAATATCGGAGACAGGCTGTTATAACCTTAGGATGAAAATAAGTCTTATTCCACCAGTATGCACAATACGTGAAATTCTCAATTATCTAGTGATTATATTTTACACGTATCGAAATATTTTAGACTGTTGCACAATTGCAAATTTATTCTGTTGCCTAAAAGGAGAATATGAACAATATGAATATGAGAATAATTCAAAATATGAACCATATATTTTTCTAATGCATTTTGTTTACCCAGAAAGATAAATAATGCTGCCCATTAGGTATTCGAAAATGTGCTTACAAGTTTTTTTTTTAAATGTATAAGATAGCTTCGCCTCACTTCCAGCATGCCTTTGTGGTGCAATTGTAAGCATACTCGACGTGTATTCGATACGTCCATGGTTCGAGTGCCGGGGAGAGCACTGCACATTTTTCACGTCTCCTGCTTCAAAAAACCTAAAGTCTCTATAGTGGCAAGAAACTACGAGTAAAAAACTCGTAAAATGTGGTGAACAACAATTCTTCACCACCAGGAATTGGTGATTGGGTCCCCTAATCACCAGTCGCTCTTTAAATATTTTCTCCCTCCTTCCAGCATACCTTCGTGGTGTAACGGTAGCACACTCAGCACATATTCGAAAGGTCCAGGTTCGAGTCTCGGCGAAGAAGGCAATGCGCATTTTTCACGTCTCCTACTTTAAATAAATAACTAAAAAATCGAAAAGCTTTCAGGTTTTATATTGCGCCCAAAGGGGCGTTTCTTTGATGCTTTGAGTTACCTTTATTTATTAAATATGTTCTTCGCACTTAAACCATACAATTCAATTCCACAGCAATATCCGAAAACATTTAAAAGAGCATATCTTTAGAATTTCCGATACACAGTCTTGCACGGAGATAAAAAAGCTCCCCCACATACAGTGTCGCCATCGCTCGCTATGAAATTGTTGAGTTTCTTAAACAAAAACTCATAAATGCTTTATAAAATATCAAATAGATAATAAAACAAACTCCAAATTCCAGATTTAGGCCTCCAGATGCCCATATTCGGTGGAGACGTACGTTATTCAAAATTTGATGGTTCTAGGCACCGTTGTTTTATTACAATGCGAGGAACATACATAAAATTATGCAGATTCTTCATTAATTAATTTCTTTAAATATAATACAGGCCTCTAATATTTGGTGGCAACAATTTAAAAAGTGATTCGCCGTTTATAGTGAATCAACGCAAAATGCTAAAATGAAACTAATACTCCTTCTGGACAAATTGCCCCTTTGGGCTAAAAACAAAACCTAATGACTGCTGTACAACTGCTTATTCTGGACATGTATTTCCAATATGCAGTTCATTTGCTGTTAATTCAAAAAAAAGTATAAAACATGGTACTTACATATTTTCCGGTCGAGCGCCAAAGTTGGCTTTCATTGATCATAAAGCTGAAGGAAATCTTACCATCCTGCGGCAATCATTCTGGAAGAACTTAAGAAGATGATCACGGATCACTTTCTGTATAGTTTCAATTTTAGCATATGTACCGCCGAAGCAAGTACAAACTGGAACGATACAACTTCTTTAGTATATGTACTGCCTAAGCTCTCTGTACTTACTTATGCAGTACATATAATAAAATTGGAATGATACAGAGAAGATTAACATGGTCCCTGAGCAAGGAGGACACAAATCACTCTTAATTTAGTTAACATAATCGACACATAAAAATTATGGATACAGAAAATAAAAAAACTTCAATTAATAAGAGCTTTGAGATTATCAGACAGAAGTTAAAAATTTTCGTATTACTCAAATCATCCCGACAGGCAAAATTCGCAACTTCCACCCTGGCTTTTCGAATACTTTCTACAGTGGCTTATTGGGAATTACCCGATTACATGAAATCAAAGTGAAAATCTTATGTATACTTGGTGAAGTCACGTTTGTACATTATTGTAGCCAAATCGCACTGCTTGGCGACACTTTTAGTTATTTGTTAACTAAAAGCTGCTTTTAGTTATTTGTTAACTAAAAGCAGCATTAGCTCAGAAGGCCTATTAGTCTCATAACGGCATTTTGCGTTGAAACACTGTAAAAGGCTCAAATCGTTGCCACCAAATATTATCTCCCCATATTATTTTAAAAGAAATTAAATGAAGAAGAAATGTGCATGAAATAAAGGAGACATGTTTTTTCAAAATGCAATTCTCGCATTGTGAAAAAACGACGGTACCTAGATCCACCAAATTCTGAGTAACGTAATCCATCAAATTTTGAATAACGTAATCCAAACATGGGCACTTGGAAGCCCGAATTTTTAGTTTCAAATTTGTTTTATTATCTATTTCACATTTTTTTAAACTTTAACGAATTTTTGATTAACAAAATCCACCATTTCAAAGCGAGCAATGACAACACTGTACTAAAGGAGAAAATATATATACATCTCCTGCGTGCGAAACTGTGTATCGGAAATTCTAAAGATAAGATGTTTTTAAATATTTTTTGAAATATTATTGCATTGAATTTTATGTGTTTTAAGTGCGAAGAGCATGATAGTTAATCAATGAAGGTAACACAAAGCGTTACAAAAATGTCCCTTTGGGCGTAATATAAAATTTGAAAGATTTCAGATTTTATTTTTATTTTTATTTATATGTAAGTACCTGAAACAAACAATAATTTTTATATGGTACTCGTAAAGTAAAAATTTAATTTCGTAAAATATCCATTTAATTAGGGATCAGATTTTAACTTCTTTACCTAGTTAGGAACAAAAATTTTGCATGCTAATTTTTATGCGTTAAATTTTCAAAGACCTTAATAATTACTTTTAAGGCTCATGTACAAATTTAATATCAAATATTGCTTTATCCAAAACGGAATCATTAACCACTAAAATTCGCAAAATCGCGTTTGCTTATTTGTTTTCCCTAAACTCTATCCCCCCCAGAAGTGTTGAACTACGATAGACATAAGTCTGAAAAAATTTATTGCACCGCCCCTATATCTTTGACTTGCTGATGACTGTCAATTCGCCAAATCGCTGAATTTTGACGGGCACTGGGGTTCTTGAGTTTAATTTTGTTTTAGTAATCCGTTTAAATTTACTGGTTTGCTTCAGGCTGGTGACCTACACCTCGCTGGTGACCTTGAGAATCCCCTTAGGTGTAACTTCTTTTAATAATTTAGCTAACAGACATAATTTAAATTCATTTCATTTATGACATCCATTTGAACAATTTCAACATTACTTTAATAATAATAATAGTAGATTTTTAAACATCTGATACTACGTATGGAATCGTTTAGTTTTTTTATTAACAATGTTTCATACGAAATAAAAATTTCATTATGTAAAAGTATTTTAAGTCAGTATTACTAATTTAAAATATTCTATTTCTCGAAAGATAGTAGCAAAATATATTTCATACGCTCTAACAATAAAAACAAATTACTTGTATTTTTGACTTGCTGCTTTTTGCTTTTAATTACGCTAGTTATTAAATAGTCTTCTATATGCATGCTTCTTTTGTAATTAATTTCTTCTATGCCATCAGAACATTGAAGAGAATATTGTAGAGCAGGTACTTAGAATTAGCATTCGAGTTCAAGAATATAGAAACATTTAATTGCATTGAACTTTATTACAGAGTTCACATTCATTATAATTCGACCATAAAGTAAGAGAAAATTGCCGCGCCATAATTTTGCTCCCACGACATCAACCAATCAAATCCCGGAGCAAAAAAGAATGAAAAATAATATGATGTGCCAACTTCCATCTCTAAAACTGAGACTGTAGTAGAATACAAAAGAACCTGTATTACTTACTGCTTCTTTACAATGGAAAAAAAGACAAGAAATAAGAATGAGGGAGAAAGAAAATCAGATCCTGGAAAACCATTCACGTTTTTGTTTCTTGATTTATATATATATATATATATATATATATATATACCGACTAAATTCAGCTTTTTTACTGGGTTCAAATCGCTCTCGAAAAGCTTTTACGGTGACAATCAAGGCAGCTGCCAAACGATCATAAAAGGCAGGCGGAAGATGGGGAGGAAATGTTCTGCTGGTATAGTTTATAGCCCTCTGTTTGATTTTTCGGCTCTAAAGTTTCTTTTGATGCATATATAACTCACCTTATGCTATAAATTTATAAGTATCTCCTGAGAAGGAAAAAGAATGTACTAAACGAGTGACATATGATTTTTAACTTTTGTCTTCTGTCCTGTACCTGGAATTTATGTATAACAAAATGGACAGAAATATTCTTTATGTAGTTTCCTTACCCATGTGAGTTGCCTACTTATAATCCTACGCACATATAGGAAAGAAAAAATAGATAAAAACATCTAAATTAGAGAAAAAAATGTAAAAAAAAAAAAAAAAAAAAAAAGATTAAAAAACTTCGTTTATAAGAAATAATATAACGAGTAAAAATTTTCCTTCAAAGAAATATAACAAAACTGTGTAAATGGTTATATAAGCAACGAGTAGATTTATTTTAATATCATGATAGAAAATTTCATTTAATTATACAAAAAAAAAAAAAAAAAAAAAGAAAGAAAAGAAAGAAAAAAAAAAAAAAGCCTTAGGATTTTATATTATTCTCAAAAGAGCGTTTTTTAACGTTTGCGTGTTTACCTTTATTTATTACCTATCACTTCTTTGACTAAACCACATAAATTCATCCACAGCAATATCACAAAATATTAAAAAACAGCATATCTTTAGAAGTTGCGATACATAGTCCCGCGCCCTGGAAATATTTTTTTTTTTTTTTTTTTCTGTACAGTGTTGCCATTGCTCGCTTTGAAATCATTGAGTTTGTTAATCAAAATTTTGTCAGAGTTTTACAAAATATGAAATAGATAATAAAATAAATTCGAAATTTAAAATTCGGGCTTTCAAGTATCCATGTTCGATTGGAGGACTACGTTACTCAAAATTTTATGACTCTAGGCACCGTCTTTTTTTCACACTCCGAGAAATATTCATGCATTCATGCAGATTCTTCGTTCTTTAGTTTCTTTAAATATGACGTATGGCGATATAGTACTTGGTTAATAGGAAAAGAGAGATGATATTGCACTCACCAAAATGAATCCTTTTAAATTTTACTTCATCGCTTTTTGAGTTTCATCGCTTTCAGTGGTGTTTCTCGAATTTTCAGTTACAGTTATAAGGTATTTCTCCCGCCTTCTTAGCATGCCTTCACGGTCAGCACACTCGACGCGTAATCGAGAGGTCCGTGGTTCGAGTCCCGGCGAGGGCATTGCTCATGTTTCATATGGCCTACTTCGAAATAACCTAATATCTCTACAGTGGCCCCCGAACTAATAAAGGTGATTTGATTCTTCACCACCAGGATTTGGCGATTGTGTCCCCTAAACTCCAGTCACCCTTTAAAAAGGGGGAGTGTATAAAGTATTTCTACCGCCTTCTTAGCATGCATTCGTGGTGTAGTGGTCAGCACCCTCGACGCGTATTCGAGAGGCCCGTGGTTCGAGTACCGGCGAAAATGTTGCTCATTTTTAATATCTCATGCTTTAAAAAAATACCTAATGTCTCTACACAGTAAATTGGAATGATTGACCAGAGTGCACTAAATAATAGTTTTTCTTAAATTCTACTTATTCATCCTTTTTGCCCTAAATCAGCTTTAAAATGATATAATTTTTAAAGGACAGTTTGAAGCGCTTGGATCATGAGTCTTATAAAAATAGATATGCGATTTTATTTTGAGCTAATCATAATGTTTTATTATAAATTAGATGCATATTTAGTAAACGAATTTAGTATTTTTGATGCAGAATGTTCATTATTTTAGAAACTTATCCTCTAGCAGTTTTTTGAAATATTAATAAAAATTGCAACCTTGTTCGAAAAATAAAAATTCTTATTCAAAGCATCTAAATAAATTTTTATTTTTGGTGCATCATACTTTTCGGAGATGGGCAGTAATTGACAAGGTTCTGCCAGGTATTACTGAATATAACAGAGCTCTATTTCTTAGTTTTACGCTTTTTTTTCCTAATTTCTAGTACAATTCTACCATTTCGTTTAGTAACTATCGTGTTTCTTCTATCATAAGAGACATTTTTCCAGCAAAAGAGTTTCTAAAAAAAATTTCTATATCAATTGTCGGGAAGAATAAACGTCTTTTAAGAAGCCAATTGACTCTAGAATACACGTTTTTGGAGAAACCTCTGATGGAGATAATATGTATCACACATCAAAAAAAAAATTCTTATGTGTTCAAAATGATGAAGTCTTATTAAAAAATTAAGATGCGCAGGGTTTTTAAAGTCTGTGACTGGAACACCTTTTGACAGGAATAAAATTCAGTATTAAAAGTGTTGCATTATGAATGTATGTATCTGTATCCACAGATTTGAAACTAGTTATTTAGTTGGGCCACCCCCTCACCACACCTGATTAAGAAATTATTTAAATGACGTAGTGCAGAACATGCTTTGCGAGCATTGTAATCGTTATGAAGTTTTCTGGGGTAGATATTATATAATTACAGGCATGAAGATCTTTTTTTAATTATAGTATAGAGTTATAAATAAACATTTGCTATAAATATATAATTACTAATCAATTCTTAGGTTTGCTGTAAACAACATGCTGTTGAGAAGAATAAATTTAAAAACTTATGCCGCGTAAAATTACAATGATTCCCAGAATTAGCAATTTCC